CCCCCACTCCCTTTACGTGCCATGGTTTCTGCGTCGGCGGCGCTGGTGTCGGGAGCCGAGATCCGCCATCTCGCGTTCCTCCTTGGCGCGGTCATCGTCACCTTCGCCATGGCGGTGTTGCCGGACTTGGGCCCGGACGGCGCCCTGAGCATGGCCGCTGCGGCGCTGCTCGATCCCGGCAGCGTACGCCTTGCCGCGGGGGCGCTCTGCGCGACTAGTTTGGCCCTGGATTAATCGCGGGGGGTATTGGATGTCAACCGCATGACGGTGGCTGTACTGGGTCGGATATTGGCATATATCCTCGGCGGCGTGACGGGCTCGGCCCTGGTACGGTCGCTTCTCAAGCCCTACCAGATCGTTCGGTTGGCGGCGTTCCTGGACCCGCATTCCGATCTGCTCGGCGCCGGCTGGAACATCATCCAGTCGAAGGACGGCGGTGGGCGCGGGCGGGCTGGCTGGAAAGGGATATCTGCAGGGCACGCAGAGCCACTATCAGTTCCTGCCTCAGCAGAGCACCGACTTCATCTTTTCCATCCTGGCCGAGGAGTGGGGATTTCGCGGCTCGTTGCTGGTGCTGGGGCTGTTCGCGGTGGTCCTGATGCGATCGATCGCGATCTGCCGCCGGCGCGCTTCGCGCCTGCCGGTCGGGGCGCGATGTTTCGCGATGCCACCGGGATCGTCGGCATGTTCGCCACCCACGTGCTGGTTAACATCGGCGTGGCGAGCGGCATCATGCCGATCACGGGAATCCCGTTGATCTTCGTTTCCTACGGCGGGTCCGCGTGTGGACGGGGCTGCTGGCGGTCGGCATGCTGCTGGCCCTGCTGCAGCCGGGGTCGGCCGGCGGCGTGCGCTTCTCGTCGCGCTTGACGGCCTCCCAATGGCGGTCAAGCTCCGCCAACGGCACTTCGCCCAGGGTTGCGCCGGCCTCGCGCACGCGGCGCTCCACTTCCTGAAACCGGCGTCGAAATCGTTCGTTGGCGCCGTTGAGCGCCAGCAGCGGGTCCACCCGCAGGTGACGGGCCAGGTTGACAACCGCGAACAGCAGATCGCCCAGTTCCTCTTCGGAGCGCTGCAGAGCCAGTCCCGTTGCCTGATCGACTTCGGCCAGTTCCTCGGCCACCTTTGCGAACACCGGGCGGGCGTTGTCCCAGTCGAAACCGACGGCCGCGGCGGCGGTCTGCAAATCGGCCGCACGGCGCAGCGGGCTGGGTGAGGAGCCGACCGACTCCAGCGCGGAAGGGCGCTGTTCGCCTTCGCTTCGCTCTCCCTGCTTGATGCGCTCCCATTGGCGCAGCACGCCGTCGGCGTCGCCGGGATAACCGCCGGCCGGAGGGGCGTCTCCGGCCCCGGCCGCAGGGGGAAATACGTGCGGATGCCGCGGCGGCGCAGCTTGTCGACCACCTCGGTCAGCACATCGGCGGCGGAGAACGCGGCTTCCTGCTCCTTCATGCGAGCGATCATGGTGGCGATCAGCACCACGTCGCCCAGTTCCTCCCGGAGGTTGGCGTCGTCGCCGGTATCGATCGCGGTGATCGCCTCGAACGCCTCCTCCAGCAGCATCGTCCGCATCGATTGCGGCGTTTGCTCGCGATCCCACGGGCAGCCGTCGGGCGCGCGCAGGCGGCAGACGGTCCGGTAGAGTTCGGCGAACGCTTCGCCGGGCGGCTTGGCATTCGGTAACGGGGTAGGCTGCATGGGACTTCGCTCCGGTGGGCGCCGGCCCGAGCGGGGCTCGGCAGTCGCGGGAGCCAAAAGCATACCGCCATCCGACCCGCGCAGCCAGCCGGGCGCTGCCGCCGGGGTTCCGCGAAGCGCCCGCGCGTGGTACGGTGCCGGTCGCCCCCTTGGCGTACCCACGCCGGCGGTCCAACCTCATGCGCATCGCGTCGATCGCCCTCAAGCACCCTTCACGGCTGATCACCAATGATGGGATCGTCGCGTTGCTGGAAGAGTGCAGCAACGGCGTCGAGCCGCGGGTGCTGCGCAAGTACCAGCGGCTGGTGCGCGGGCTGCTGAAACGCACCGGCTCGGTCACGCGCTACGTGCGGGATGAGCAGCACGGTGAACGCGCCAGCGACCTGGTCGAGCAAGCGATGCTGCAGGCGCTGGAGCAGGCGTCGGTGGCGCCGGCGGACATCGATCTGCTGATCTACTGCGGGGTGGGCAAGGGGTTCCTGGAACCCGCGAACGCCTACTTCTACGCGCGTGCCGTCGGCCTGACCTGCTCGTGCTTCGACATAGCCGACGCCTGCATGAGCTGATGCGCGCGCTGGACGTCGCGTACCGCTTCCTGCGCGCGGGCACGCTCCGAACCGCGATGATCATCAACGGCGAATTCAACTACAAGGAGCACGGGTACCCCGAGAACTTCAAGGTCAAGGGCATCGAGCAGCTCGAGTACACGTTCCCCACCTACACCATCGGCGAAGCGGCGACGGCCACCATCGTCACCGCCTCGGACGCCGAGTGGTGCTTCGACTACCACTCGGTGCCCGAGCTGTGCGGCCTGTGCAACATTCCGCTGGCCGGATATGAGGACTTCGTGGAGGCTTCGGAGCGGATCGCGCTCAACGGCGTGAACAACTTCGTGGCGTATGGCCATGAGCTGTTCGCGCGGCCGGAGCAGTACCTGTTGCCGCTGGTGCGCCGCGCGGTGGGCGATCTGAACGCGCCGGACATCTACTTCCATCCCGCACGCCGCGTCAGCGCGTCGCTACCGCGCGCCAGGCAGGGCATGCGATCAGTGCCGTGCAAAGTGTCGTTCTAGCGCGTGTGTTTCCGTCGGTCTTTGGGGCACCCTGTGATCGCGCCACGCATTCCGCCGTGCCATGGTGGGCCGACACGAGGCGGACGGCCGGCTCAAGCGGGGCGACCGTCGTACTGGTGCCGGCGAGCGCCGGCATGGTGTTCGGGGTCGGTCAGTTCACCTACTGAGGCCGCACGGCATTCACGCGCCACGCGGCAACCCGAGTCTCCTGCCGTGAGCCGGTCTGCCGGCTCGTTCAGGAAGACACGCCAGGAGTCGTACTTGGGGCTTCGCAGCCGCAGCAGGATCAGCGGATTCCGGTGTGGCTCCCACGGGCCTGCGAGTGAGCAGCATGCCGGCGGACCGCGGGCTCCGACCGCCCTTGCGCGTGTTGCAGGGCATGCAGGCGGTGACCAGATTGGACCACGACTCGGTGCCGCCGAGCGAGCGCGGGATCACGTGGTCGATCGTGAGTTGGCGGGCTGCCAGCCGCTTGCCGCAGTATTGACAGACGTTGCCGTCGCGGGCGTAGACGTTGCGCCGCGTCAGGGCCACCCCTTGCCGCGGGAAGCCGTGATAATCCGTCAACCGGATGATGCGCGGCACGGCAAGCGTCAGCGTCGCCGTGTGCACCCAGTCTAGATGGTCGTCGCCTGCCCCGGCGAGGACGAAGGACCGGTCCGTCCACCTGGCGAAGTCGAAGGACTCATAGTGGCCGCCGTCGATGGTGATCACCTCGGCGGCCTGCCGCACCAGCAGCACGAACGCCCGTCGCGCGCTGACCAGGCGCAGGACCGCGTATGAACTGTTGAGGACCAGCACGCTGCACTCGAGCACCCGGGATTCGTACGACACCCCCGATCCTGTACCACGCCCCTAGTGCGTGGTCAAGGTTGCCGCTCCCCACTCGTCAGATCTTCGGCGTGGATCCAGCCGAAGTCGCGGGTAGCTGCCGCGGACGCGAACGTCGTACCAGTCGCCGTCACGACCCAGGGCGAGCAGCAGATCCGTGGGCCGCACGTAGGAGCGGACGGTGGAGTCCCGGGTCGGCGCGGCGTGCAGTGGCACCGATCTGCCGGCAGGCCAGCGGACGGTCGGTGCGGGCGGGATGACCGCCGTCGGGTCCAGCGGATCGCGCTCCTCCAGGAACGCCAGCACGCCGTCGGCGATGGCGCGTGCGGCCCGCTCGGGATGGGCCACCAGGAATGCGCGGTCCCTCGGGTCGGTGAGGTAGCCCATCTCCAGGATCGCCGCGGGGGTGGTGACCGCGATGGCATGCCGAAATCGGCCGCCGAAGGCGTAGTAGCCCCGCATGTTGTAGGTCACCCCGTTCAGGTCCTCGCGCATCCCGGTAACCTTCCCGTAGTGCTCGCGCAGCAGGGCGCTCAGTCGGCGGGATGCGGAGGAGGCCCTCCACGGCGGTGAAACCTTGTAGCCGGAGCTGGCGCCGCCATCGGCGTGAATCGACACGAACGCATCGGCGTCGAACTCGGGGGGGACGGTCGCCGGCAGCAGCACCACGTCGATGTCACGCTGGCGCAGCAGGGCGGCGGCCGCCTCCGCCACGGCCTGATTGACGTCGACTTCCGACACGCCGGCGGCGCTGGCGCCGGTCGCCGTGCGTCGATGCGCCAGCTCGGGCGGGTACTGGTCCGTGTGCAGATGGCCGACCTGCAGGGCGACCCGCCAGGGCGCTACCAATCCCCGTAGCGAGATCCCCGGGTAGGGCGCCCGAACGGGGGCGCGCAACGGCACGAAGCGTTCGGGCGCGGGCCGGTCGTCGTTCAGTGCCAGCGCGACGGCTGCCGCCGCAACCACGGCGAAGGCCGCGCCCGCGGCGATCAGAAGGCGTCCGATGGCAGACATCGCGGGCGACTATGAGTCTGCCGGAGATGCCGCGCAAGCGCCAGATTCGACAGACTCCTAGCGAGGATGCGGATGGGGGCAGAAGCGAGGCCGAAGGACTCGGTGCTGCCGGCGCTATACCGGCACGCGCCGACCGTTCCACTATGGGGTGCGGTCGGCACGTCGCACGCCGCTGTCGACCGGGAGGGCGGTTAGCTCAGTTGGGAGAGCGCCTGGTTTACACCCAGGAGGTCGGCGGTTCGAGCCCGTCACCGCCCATCGAGACAATGACCGAGCACTCTGTCGCCGCAGCACGGCGCGGCTGGCTTCTGTTCGCGGCCGGCGCCGGCGCCATCGTGTTGGGCGCGACGCTTGCCGGCCGCGTGCTGCGAACCCGAACGCGGACCAGGCGTTCGATCCGGTAACCTGGTCCGATCGACTGCAGGCATTCACCACGATCTTCCTGGGCATCTTCATCGAGGCAGCGCCGTTCGTGGCGATCGGCGCCCTTTTGTCCGGTGTGATCGAGGTGGGTGTGAGCACGCGGACGCTCGCCCGCTGGGTGCCGAAGCGGCCCGGCAATCGGCGTGCTGGTCGGCGCGGCTCTGGGAATGGTCTTCCCGGTCTGTGAGTGCGGAGTGGTGCTGGTCGTCCGGCGCCTGTTGAGCAAGGGACTCCCGCCGCCGGTCGCCATCGCCTTTCTGCTCGGAGCGCCGGTCTCAATCCGTTGGTGATCGCCAGCACGGCGACGGCGTTCGGGTTCGGCTGGATGCTCTCTCGGCCGCTTGGGACTCACCCTGATCGTCGCCGCCACGGTGGCCACGGTGTTTCGCCAAGCTCGCCCGGCCGACATCCTGCTGGCCGGCGGCACGGCCATCCGAAGGACGAGGCCTGTACTACACGACGCACGATCACGCCCGCATGACGGCCATGAGCGAATGGCGCCGGCATGCCGCGCAGGCGCCGCGTCGGCGCGTTCGTGGTGGACGCGTTGCTGCACGGCTCCACCGATCTGTTCGACATGGGCCGCTACCTGGTCATCGGCTGCGCCCTGGCAGCGCTGCTGCAGACCCTGATGCCGCAGTCGGTCCTGCTGGACATCGGCCGCGGCGGCGCCGGATCGGTTGCGACGATGCTCGGGCTCGGGTACCTGCTGTCGGTGTGCTCGTCGGTCGACGCGTTCCTGGCGTTGGCGTTCACCAGCACCTTCGCGCCGGCATCGATTCTGGCGTTCCTGGTATTCGGGCCGATGGTGGACGTCAAGAGCACGCTATTGTTCATGAGCGTCTTCCGCGCCAACGCCGTGATCTACCTGGTCGCGATCCCGTTGGTCACTGACGTTCACGGCAGCGATCATCGTGCACAATCTGGTGCCATGGGCGTGAGGGCCGGGCTCGACCGGTCGCGGTTGCTGGCGGCGGTGGTGCTGTACGGCATCGTGGCGATCCTGCTGCAGCGCCTGCTCACCGGCACGCTGGTGTACTACATCAACCCGCGCTACGAATGGCTCACCTGGGTGGCGGTGGCGGGGCTCGAGTCATGGCGCTGGCGCTAACCGGCACCGCATGGCGCCGTGCTCTAGAGCGACTCAGCGGCTGACACGGCATGCGGGTGCTGAGAGCGCGCTGGATCGGGTGCTATTCGCGCACTGCCGTCGCTGGCGAGTGACTGCCGTGAGACAGCCCTGTCGCGTTTGTCGCTCGCAACCGGAGCACGTCGCCAGTCTGGCACACGCCGAGCGCCGCCGACGCCATACGCGGTGGGCCGCCGCGGAACCGGCAGCCCGGTCGATGTTGGATTGGCTGGTGGAGTTCCACGTGGCGGACGATCCGGAGCGGTTCGCCGGTCAGGGAGCGCAGATCACCGGGTTCGTGCACCGTGACGTACACCTCGGCCCCTATCAGGTGCAGCTGAGCCGTTTCCTGCTGAGTTGCTGCGTGGCCGACGCCACGCCCATCGGGATCGTCGCTACAGGCTCCGGAGCTGGCCATGGTGCCGGATGGCCAGTGGCTTACGGTCGCCGGGCGGTTTGCCGTGGGTGAGATCGGCGGAGAACGGATGCCGGTCCTGGTCGCGGATGAGGTGGTCCCGATCGAGCCACCGCCGGTTCCCTACCTGTACTACTGACGCATGCGGCGAGCGATCGATACGACACAAACGAGCGCTTGCGACATGAGACGACGTGAGCCGCCGTCGCGTTGGCGGCGATCGCCATCGGCGATCGGGTCGGGCTGCAGGTCGTGGAGGTGACGCCGGAAGCCGGCGCGGCAGGGGTTTCGACGCTTGCAACGATCGAGATTCGCTTCTCGGAGCCGGTCGACCGGGCCGGGCGGTCGGTGACGTTGGCGATCGAGCCGCCGGTCGCCGGATCGTTGCGCTGGGGCAACCGCACGCTGCGATTCGATCCGGGTCGCACGCTGTCCGCGCGCACGAGCTATACGGTGCGTCTCGACGGTACGCTGCGGGCAGCTTCCGGACGCCGGCTGCGAGCGCCGCTGCAATGGAGCTTCGACACCGGTACGCTGCGCATCGCGTACGTGAGCGAAGGCGCGGCCGAGCGGACCCGCATCGCCGCCCGCACCGTGATCGCGGGTGGAGGCGACGGACCGGAACGTGTCGGCGACGAACAGACGCTGGCGTCGTTCGAACATCCGGTGCGCGACTTCCACCGCGCCCCCGACGGCGGTACGCTGGTCGCCACGCTGGGCACCGACGTGTTCGCGGCGGACCTCTGGCTGGTCGATCTGCAGGGCGGGGGTTCGCGCGAGCTGCTGGACTGCGGCGATGCGGAGTGCAGTGCCGCTCGCTGGGCGCCCGACGGGACCGCCATCGTCTTCTCGCAACGGCGGCTACCGTTGCCGCCCCGTCCCTGGCTGCTCGATCCGGTCAGCGGCGATGACCGCCCGCTTCTCCAGCAGGAGGTGATCGGCTTCGACCCTCGCTGGTCGTCCGACGGGGCGTGGGTGGCGTTCGTATCGCCGCTGGAAGGGGGCTTGCGCATCGTCGGCATAGCCGATGGTCGCACGGTGCTCGTCGCGACCCGGGCCGACGCTCCGGCGGCGTGGCGTCCGGGCGCCCTCACCCTGCTGACGTCAGACCTGCGCGACGAGAGCGGACAGGTCACGGACGTGCTGATATCCATCGACCTGATGGATCTGTCGGTCCGCACAGCGCTCAGCCCGGAGCACGGCGGTGGCCGGTCGCCGGCGTGGGCGGCGGACGGCGGCCGTTTCGCCTTCATCCGTTCGGCCGACGCCGGGGAGGAGTTGTGGCTGGCGACCGACGCGGGGGGGCCGCACTTCGAGGCCGTGCCGCTTGCCACGCCGCCCCGGCTCACCTATCGCGAAATCGTGTTCGCACCCGGTGGAGACCTCATAGCGGCGCAGCGTTCGCGGCTGGACGTCCCCTATCCGGAGCCCGAGGTGGTGGTGTTCGACCTCACCGGGCGCGAGCGTGCGGTGATCGTCGCGGCGGCGACGCCACGCTGGTTGCCGTGAAGACGTGTTCCGTCTCCGACGGCGGCTGCGCGATCCTGTTCGTCGATGGTGACTGCGTACTCTGCCGCCGCCTGTCGCGCCTGGTCGTCGACGCGGATGGCGCCGGCCGGCTGCGGGTGGCGCCGCTTGACGGCGTGACCGCGCGCCGGCTGCTTTCGCTGGCTGACCGGACGCAGGGCGACTGGGTGGTGTTGGTCGAGGGGCCGCGGACGATGCGGGCCGCCGACGCGGTGGTACGCACGCTGCGGCTCATGGGCGGTCGGTTCGGGGTCATGGGGCGGGTGATGCGCCTGCTGCCGCGCCCGTTGCGCGACGCGGCGTACCGTTTCGTAGCCCGCCGGCGCCGTGCCTGGTTCGGCCGCGTCGAATCGTGCCCGCTGCCGGCGAGCGAACAACGGCCGGACAGGGTGCTGGACTGACTGGGCCGGACTGAGCCATGACGCTGCCGGCAGTAGGCCGCAGCGGATGCTTGGCCGTATACTCTCGTTTCCCAGGGCCGGGAGCAAGATCCGGCCGGTGAGAGGAGTTCGCCATGGCAGGTGAGATGCAGGATACCGGTACGTGGACGGTCAAGACCGGGCTGGCTCAGATGTTGAAGGGTGGGGTGATCATGGACGTGGTCACCGCCGACCAGGCCAAGATCGCTGAGGACGCGGGCGCGGTTTCGGTGATGGCGCTCGAGCGCGTGCCCGCCGATATCCGCAAGGCCGGAGGCGTGGCGCGCATGGCCGATCCGACCAAGATCGAGGAGATCAAGCGCGTGGTGACGATTCCGGTCATGGCCAAGTGCCGTATCGGCCACTTCGTGGAAGCGCAGGTCCTGCAGTCCCTGGAGATCGACTACATCGACGAATCGGAGGTGCTGACGCCCGCCGATGAGGTCAATCACGTATGGAAGCACGACTTCAGGGTGCCGTTCGTATGCGGTTGCCGGAACCTGGGTGAAGCGCTGCGCCGCATCCGCGAAGGCGCCGCCATGATCCGCACCAAGGGAGAGGCCGGTACCGGCAACGTGGTCGAGGCGGTACGCCACGCACGGACCGTGTTGCAGGCGGTGCGCCGGGTGCAGGGCCTGGGCGACAGCGAGCTCTCGGCGTTCGCGAAGGAGATACAGGCGCCGTTCGAGCTGGTGGCGCAGTTGCGCGCGGACGGCTCGCTGCCGGTGGTCAACTTCGCCGCCGGCGGCATCGCCACGCCGGCTGACGCCGCGCTCATGATGCAGATCGGCGTCGACGGGGTGTTCGTGGGCTCCGGCATCTTCAAGTCCGAGAATCCGCAGCGCATGGCGGAAGCGATCGTCAAGGCGACGACCAACTACGACGATCCCGACATCCTGGCCGAGGTTTCGCGCGGGCTGGGCGAGCCGATGCGGGGGCTGGAGATGACGGCGATTCCCGAAGGCGAACAGCTCGCCGTACGCGGCTGGTAACGCATGGCGGTGGGCGTCCTGGCGCTGCAGGGCGACGTCCGTGAACATCTCCATGCCCTTGCCGCCATAGATGAGCCCGCCAGGCCGGTGCGCACCGCGACGCAGCTCGAAGCGGTCGACGCGCTGATCATTCCCGGTGGCGAGAGCACCACGATCATCAACCTGCTGCATGCCTTCGAGCTGACGGATCGGCTGACGGAACGCCTGGCCGGCGGCATGCCCGTGTGGGGAACCTGCGCCGGCATGATCGTGCTGGCTCAGGAGGTGCTCGATCCGCGCCCGGAACCGTTGCGGCTGCTCGACATCTCCGTGCGGCGCAACGCGTACGGCCGTCAGGTCGCGAGCTTCGAGGCACATCTGGATGTCGAGGAGCTGGGCGCTCCGCCGTTCTGCGGTGTCTTCATCCGGGCTCCGGCGGTGGAGCGGGTGGGCCTCGGGGTACAGGTGTTGGCTGCCTTGCCCGACGGGCGGCCTGTGGCCGTGCGCCGGGGCAGCATGCTGGCGACCTCGTTCCATCCCGAGCTCACCGGCGATCATCGCTTTCATCGCTACTTCTGCGCATTCCGCCGGGACTGCGAACGTCCGGCGAGCCGGGCGGCGCAGGGAGGCCGTGCGCCGCAGACGCCGTCCCGGAATCCGGGGACGGCCGGCCGAGAGCCGGCTACGCTGAGGGGCCTGCATGGTCGACGCGGACTCGTCGGCGTCCGAGCGGGAGCGGGTTCGGCGGATCCGCGACAACTACGACGCGGCACGGGAGCGTGCGGTACGGGCCGCCGCCCGCGCCGGGCGGCGGCCCGACTCCGTGCGGATGATGGCGGTGACCAAGAACTTTCCGCGTGATCACGTTCTGGCCGCGGTCGCCGCCGGGTTGAATCTGTTGGGCGAGAACCGCGTACAGGAGGCGGCGGGCAAGCACGCCGTCCCCTCCCGGCCATACGAGCTGCATCTGGTGGGCCACCTGCAGCGCTAACAAGGCCAAGGACGCGGCACGGCTGTTCGACGCGGTGCAGTCGATCGACGCGGTACCCACCGCCGCAGCACTGGAACGGCGCTGCGCCGCACTCGACCGAACGATGGCGATCCTGCTGGAGCTGAACGCCTCCGGCGAGCCGACCAAGGCGGGGTTTCGGACCGAGGACGCCCTTCTGGAGGCGGCGTCCGAGATCGCCGACTCATGTCCGCATCTGCCGCTGGCAGGGGTGATGACAATCGGCGCCCACAGCCATGACGAGGCGGTCGTGCGCGCCTCGTTCGCACGGCTCCGGGCGGGTGCACGAGCGTCTGCTCGTGGATCATCCCGGCGCCGGGGTGCTTGTCGATGGGCATGTCGCAGGATTTCGAGCTGGCGATCGAGGAAGGGGCTACCTTGATCCGCCTGGGGACCGCGCTGCTCGGGCCGCGGCCCGAGCCATGACCGGGCCGACCCTGAACCGATTGCTGGCGCTGTGCTGCTGCTGATCGCGGCGGTGGCCGGCGGCGCCTGGGGCCAGGAGGGCGACGGGTCGCAGGCCGAGTCCCCGGCGGGGGCGCTGAGCGATCCGGTGCCGTACGAGCGCTCGGAGTTTCCGGAATGGGCGCACGCGCTGCGTCCGCGCGGAGGTGGTGGCGATCGGCTCTCTGCCGCTGACATTGTTCGGTGTGCGTTTGCTCTACGACTTCACCCGCTACGCCGCGCACGGCTTCGCGCCGGAGGTACGGCCGTTCCCGTTGCGGCCGATCGGAGGCGGCGCCGGGCTCACCGAGACCGAGATGCTGGGGATCGTCATCGGTGCCGCGGCGTTGTCCGTGGCGATCGCGCTGATCGACGCCGACATGCACCGGATCGAGCGGGAGGATGTCCCGGATCGGTGAGGTCTTCGGAGACGGTCGTCGGGGATGATCGATTCGTGGGGTTGCGTCTCGACCGTTATCTGGCGATCGGGCTGGGGCTGTTTCCGCGCAGCCAGGCGCGCTCCCGTGTCGACGAGATCACCGTCAACGGCCGCCCCGCGAAGCTGGCGACCCGCCTGTATCGCGGCGACCGCGTCGCGGTCACCTACCGTGAACCGGAGCCGCTGACGGCCGTCCCGGAGGAGATGGCCTTGTCGATCCTCCACGAAGATGCCCACGCCATCGTGCTGGACAAGCCGGCCGGCATCGTCACCCATCCGGGCGCGGGAAATCGCACCGGCACCCTCCTGAACGGCGTGCTCGGCCACTGCAACCGCGTGCGTGACGCGTTCCCGGATGAGCCGGTGCGGCCGGGCGTGGTGCACCGGCTGGACAAGGAGACCTCCGGGGTCATCATTTTCGCCAAGTCCCCGGAAGCCCATTTTGCGCTGACCCGCCAGTTCGCCCTGCGCCGCGTGCGCAAGCGCTACCTCGCGGTGCTCGATGGCCGCCCGCCGGCGGCGGCTGGGACGGTGGACCTGCCGATCGGCCGCGACGGCCGCGACCGCACCCGCTTCGCGGTGGTCGCCCGCGGCCGGCCGGCGCTAACCCGCTACCGGTGCTCGGCGAGCTGGCGGGTGAACGTTCGTTGGTGCTGCTGGCGCCGGTCACGGACGTACCCACCAGCTAGCGCGTGCACGTTGCGACGCTCGGCTGCCCGGTGGCCGGCGACGTGGTCTACGGCCGCGGCCGGCGTTCCGAGCCGGCTTCGATGCTGCTGCATGCCGCCTCGCTGCGGCTGCGGCTGCCGAGCGGGGACGCGGCCCGGCGGTTTCGCGCGCCGTTGCCGCAGCGGTTCCGGGCCACGCCGGGCGTCGTCGACTGTCTGCGGCCGGTCAGTCCTGCAGGTGGACGTTGAAGCGGCGCTCGATGCCTATCGTGGTCGGCGGTCCGTGGCCCGGCAGCACCACCTCATGGTCGGCACGGCAGAGCAGCCGCTCGCGGACCGATCGCCGCAGGGTGGCACGCGCTTGCGGCGTCGCGGCCCTGCCGATGGTGCCCCCCGCCAGCGTGTCGCCGGTGAATATCACCGGGAGCAGCGCGTAGCAGACGGAATCGTCCGAATGGCCCGGGGTGGACAACACCTCGAAGGTGAGCGCACCGATGCGCAGCTCCTGGCGCCCGGCGATCAGGTTGATGGGCAGTTCGGCGACGGCGGCGGCGGCGTAGATTTCGGCACCGAACACTCTCTGAATGGCGGCGGCGCCGGCGCAGTGACTGGCGTGCGTGTGGGTCAGCAGCACCGCACTGGGGGGCAGGTTGCGCTGCTCGATGTGGCCGAGCAGGGCCGCGTTCAGGTAGCCCGGATCGATCAGGACGCCGTAGCCGCCCTCGTCCGGCCCGACCAGATAGCAGGTGGCGAAGCCGCCGACCGCGAAGTGCGTGGAGATCGTCATGCGCTTCAGCGGCGATGCGCCTCCGCGAGGTTGGAGCCGGGTGTGGCCAGGTCGCCCACGTCGGCCAGTTCCAGATGGGCGTGATGGAGGTTGCAGTCGTCCATGATCACCTGCCGGAGCGTGCCGCCGATGAACCGCGAGGAGGTGAGGTCGCAGCTTTCGAAGAGCGTGCGCGAGATGGTCGCGGCGAGAAAGTTGCAGCGCTGGATGTCGCAGTCGTCGAACTGGCAATCGCTGAGCTCGCTGCCTGCCAGGATCACCGCCGACAGGCGGCAGCCCACGAAGCGGCAGTGCGACAGCACCGCGTCGTGCAGGAACACCAGGCTCAGGTGGCATCGCTCGAAGACCACTCGTTCCAGCGCGGCTCCGACCAGACGGGTCCCCACCATTTCTCCGTTCGCGCAGTGCGTGAATCCCGCAGCCGCAACCACTCAGGTCGAGGTAGGCAAGATCGCCGTCGACGGCAAGCCGGTGCGCCGCACGCTCCCGGTATGCGTGCGGGTCCTCCAGATGGGCGAAGCAGCGGCGCTCGCCGGTGAGCGCGGTCGGGCACGCGGGGACGCTGCAGAGTGCCGGTGCCGTCATGCGGGTCACGTACACGGAACATGCCGCTGCCGCGCCATATACCGGCCCACTCCCTTGCGCGCCCCATTGACGGTCAGACGGGCGACAGTTCGCGCGCGGTGAGTATCCTCACGGGCAGGTGCACGCAGTCGGCGCGTGTACGACGTCGACGTTGACGGAGCGCGACCATGCGGTGCCGCATCAAGGGCAGACGCTCCAGGTCGGAAGAGCGCGTGCACGCGCCGATCGCGGTGGGCGACTTCGTGGAGTCGGCCCATCCTACGAGGAGACCGGCGGCTGGGGATACCTCAGTCGCCAGAACGAACCACCCCAGATACGACCGTTGGAGTCGCAAGCACGGGCGATGCAGGTGCTGGCGGCCAACGTCGATCAGGTGGCCTGCGGACCGCGCCGAGCTCGCCGCCCTTCCGGCCGCGGTTCATCGACCGCCTGCTGGTGGCTGCCGAGCACGCCGGCGTCGACGGTCTGATCATCCTGAACAAGGTCGATCTCGGCACACCCGCCACGGTGGCCGAACGCATCGCCGATACCGCCGGATGGGCTACCGCGTGGTCGAGTGCTCCGCTGCCACGGGTGCCGGCGCCGCGGAGGCGCGTGCCGTGCTCGGCCAGAGGTTGACGCTGATATGCGGGCAGTCGGGCGCGGGCAAATCCAGCCTGCTGAACGTCTGGGACCCGAGCGTCGATCTCCGTACCGGTGCCGTGTCGCGCAAGTTCGATCGCGGCGTGCACACGACGATCCGCGCCGAGCTGCTGGAGCTCGCCGACGGCGGCCGCCTGATCGACAGTCCCGGCATCCGCGCGCTGGAGCTGGGCGCCATCGAGGCGCGCGACATCCGCCATCGCTTCCGCGACTTCCAGCGCTGGCTGCTGCGCTGCGAGTACAGCGCATGCCTGTGCGATGGCGAACCGGGCTGCGCGGTGCGGGCGGCGGTGGACGCGCACCAGATCCATCCTGACCGCTACGAGAGCTACCTGCGCCTGCTGCGCGAGGTGCGCGAGCGCGAGCGCGAGCGAGCGCACGCGTGACCGAAGCGACGTCCACCGCCGGCGACCCTGCGACCGAGGCTCGTGCGGCGGCGCTGCTCGGCCTGCCGGGCGTGTTCGCGCAGGTCGCGGAGTACTGCGCTGGGGAGGCGGGACGGCGGCAGGTGCTGGCCAGCCGCGTATACACCGATCCGCCGTCGGTGCTGGCCGAACGGGCGCCGGCGGTGGAGCTGCGGCGCCTGCTGGAGTCCGGCTTCCAGCCGCCCGAGTTGGATCTGCCGGAGATCGGCGCGCCGCTCGGCCGCCTGCGGCGTGGCGCGCCGACGCTCGACCCCGAGGAGCTGGCGGCCGTCGGGCGGCTTGCCGCCACGACGGAGGCGATCCGCGGCGCGCTTGCGGAGGTCGCCGATCCGGTCGAGCGCCCGGCGCTGAGCGCGCAGTCCGCCCAGCTGCCGCTGCTGGGATCGCTGGGCGCGGACCTGCTCCGCGTGGTGGGCGTCGACGGGACGATTCAGGATCACGCGGTCCCGGAGCTGGCGCGGGTGAAGCGCGACCTGCGCCGCCTGCAGTTGCAGATCGAAACGGCGGCGGCGAGCTGATGGCCGATCCGTCGCTGCGCGGCTGCTTCAACGGCGCGGTGCCCACCCAGCGCGGCGGGCGCACCGTGGTGCCGCTGAAGGCCAGCCACCGTGCGCGCGTGCCGGGCGTGGTGCACGAGATGTCGGCGAGCGGCGCCACCCTCTACGTCGAACCGTTGCGCGATGTAGAGGCCAACAACGCCGTGGTGGCCGCCCGCGACCGGTACGCGGCGGAGGTGCGGCGCGTGCTGCGCGAGCTGACCGGCGAGGTAGCGCTCAAGCGGCTCGACCTGGAGCGCGCGGTGGCGGTCACGGCCCGATTCGACTGCGTACAGGCGCGGGCCCGCTATGCGCGGGCTCACGCGGGCGCCGCAGCGCAGGTCGGCCCCCTGGCCCTGCACCGGGCGCGCCATCCCGAGCTGGGCGACGCCGCGGTGCCGCTGGACCTCGCGATGACTCCCGATGCGCGCATCATGATCATCACCGGACCCAACACGGGCGGCAAGACCGTCTGTCTGAAGACGGTCGGACTGCTGTGTCTGATGAATCAGGCAGGCCTGGAGATACCGGCCGCTCCCGACTCGACCCTGCCGATCTACCGCGGCATCTACGCCGACATCGGCGACGAGCAGTCGATCACCGCATCCCTGTCCACCTTCTCTGCGCACGTGGAGAACTTGGCCGCCATCATGAACGCCGCAACCGACTGTTCCCTGGTGCTGATCGACGAACTGGGCACCGGCACCGACCCCGAGGAAGGCATCGCCCTGTCGCGCGCAATGCTCGACCGGTTCCGGGACGCGGGGGTGACGGTGATCGCCACAACCCATCACGGCGCCCTCAAGGCATACGCCTACACCGAGACCGGGGTCACCAACGCGTCGATGGAGTTCGACGGCCATACCCTGCGGCCCACGTTCCGGTCATCGAAGGGGTTCCGGGGGAGAGCCATGCGATCGACATCGCCCGGCGCCATCGCATGCCGCACACCGTGATCGAGCGGGCCGCGAAGCTGCTGGACGCGGGACGCACCGAAGCCGGCCGCATCATCAACGCGCTGACGCGACGGCAGCGGGAGCAGGAGCGGGAGGAGCACGAGCTGCGCGAGCGCGTGGCCGAGCTCGCCAAGCGGGAGTCGGAGCTTGCCGCCGACCGCGCGGCGCTCGCCGTGCGTGAGCGCGAGCATCACCGGCAGGCGGCCGGGGAGCTCGGCCGCTTTCTGTCCGAAGCGCGGCGTGACGTGGAACGCGCCATCCGCGCGGTGCGCGCGACCGCCGGTGCACGGGCGGTCGCAGCGACGGGTGCCGGCGGGCAGGCAGCCGCCGCGGCTGCTGACGCGGCGGCTGACGCGGCCGCGCGGGCGGCTCCGAGCGTGGTGGAGCAGCGCCTGCAGGCCGAGCGGGATGCGCTGATGGCGCTGGAGGACGCCGACTCCGCCGGTGTGACCGACGGGGCGCCGCTGGCGCCCGGCAGCAGCGTGCGCGTACGGCGCACCGGCGCGTCCGGCCGGGTGGTGCGCCGGCACCGCCCCGACCGGTATCCCGACCGCTACGTGGTGCAGACCGACACCATCCGCGGCGAGTTTCGCGCCGCCGATCTGGAGGCAGCCGGCGACCCGACTCCGTCGCGCCGCGCGGGAACCCGCGTCGAGCTGGTCACCACATCGGAGCCGGTGCTGGAGCTGCACGTGCGCGGCATGCGGGCGGAGGAGGCCCTGCAGCAGGTCGAGCGGCAGCTCGACGCGGCGGTCATTCGCGACTGGTCCGAGTTCGCGGTGGTGCATGGGCACGGACAGGGCGTGCTGCGCCATGTTATCCACGAATACCTCCGCGACAGCTCCGCGGTCAGCGACTACCAGGATGCCGCGGCCGATGAGGGCGGACATGGCAAGACGATCGTCCGGCTCCGCCGCTGACGGGGGCGCCGGCACGGATGACGGGCGCTCGCCCGGCACCGACCGTATCGTCATCCGCGGCGCCCGCGAGCACAACCTGAAGGGGATCGATCTGGACCTGCCCCGCAACCGGCTGATCGTGGTGTCGGGGCCGAGCGGTTCGGGCAAGTCGTCGCTGGCGTTCGACACCGTGTTTGCCGAAGGGCAGCGGCGCTACGTCGAATCCCTGTCGGCGTACGCCCGGCAGTTCCTGGGACGGCTGGACAAGCCGGACGTCGACTTCATCGACGGCCTGTCGCCGGCGATCTCGATCGAGCAGCGCACCGCACAGCGCAACCCGCGCTCCACGGTCGGCACGGTAACGGAGATCTACGACTATCTGCGGCTGCTGTTCGCCCGCACCGGCCGCCCGCATTGTGCCGACTGCGGAGCGGCGATCAGCGAACGGTCCACCGACCAGATCGTCGACGCCATCGTCTCCCTGCCGGCCGGCTCGCGGATCATCCTGCTGGCGCCGGTGGTGCGCGATCGCAAGGGACAGCACCGTGCCGTGTTCGAGGACGCGATCAAGGCGGGATTCGTGCGGGTGCGCGTGGACGGCCGCATCCACTCCCTGGACGATATTCCGGAACTGGACCGGAACACGACACACACGATAGAGGTCGTGGTAGATCGGCTGATCGGCAAGCCGGACGTGGACAAGCGCGTGGCCGGCTCGGTGGAGACGGCGCTGGAGGTGGGCTCGGGCCAGCTCATCGTCCTGCGGGACGGCGACGGGGGCCCGGTCGAGCAGCGGTTCTCGCAGACCAGCTCCTGCGCCGAGTGCGGCGCACCGTTTCCGGAGCTGGAGCCGCGGCTGTTCTCATTCAACAACCCGCACGGGGCCTGTCCGTCGTGCTCCGGACTGGGAGTCAGTCTGGAACTCGATCGCGACCTGATCGTTCCCGACCTGAGCAAGTCCTTCGACGAGGGCGGCATCGCCACGCACAATCCGCGTGCCAAGTGGACCCGATCGCTGTTTCGAGCGCTCGCCCGGCACTGGGGCTTCCGGCTCGACACCCCTGTGGGCGAGTTGCCGTCCGTCGTTCTGGACGCGCTGCTGTTCGGCGCCGGCGACCGCATTCAGGTCGAGCACCGCACCGCGTCAAAGGCCAGCTATCGCTATGCGACCACCTATCGCGGCGTGATTCCCGATCTCAAGCGACGCTACCTGCAGACCGCCTCCGAGAACGTCAAGCGGTGGCTGGAAGGGTTCATGCGCGAGCAGCCGTGTGATGCCTGCGGAGGCCGGCGGCTGCGCCCGGAAGCGCTGGCCGTGGAGGTGACCGGTCACAGCATCGATCAGGTCACGGCCCTGTCGGTGTCGGCGGCTCTGGACTACGTGCGCCGAGTACGCGATGAGAGCGGCGGCGACTGGGCCAAGGTGGCCGGCCAGCTCGTCAAGGAGATCGGTGATCGGCTGGAGTTCATGGCCAGCGTGGGACTGTCGTACCTCACCCTGGATCGCGGCGCCTCCACGCTGTCCGGCGGCGAGGCGCAGCGCATCCGTCTGGCCACCCAGATCGGCTCAGCGCTCGTCGGGGTGCTCTACGTGCTGGACGAGCCGACCATCGGCCTGCACCAGCGGGACAACGACCGGCTGCTGCGTACCCTGTTTCGGCTGCGTGATCGCGGCAATACGCTGCTGGTGGTGGAGCATGACGAGCAGACGCTGCGCAGCGCCGACTATCTGGTCGATCTGGGACCGGGCGCGGGCGAGTACGGCGGCCGGGTAGTGGCGTGCGGCGCGCCGCCAGAGGTGCAGGCGCAGGACCGGTCCGTGACCGGACGCTACCTGGCCGGGCGGGAAGTGATCCCGACGCCGCCGCAGCGGCGGCAGCCGACCGGCGGGCTGACCCTGCGCGGTGCGGCCGCCAACAACCTGCGCGGACTCGACGTATCGCTGCCGCTGGGAGCGCTGACGGTCGTGACCGGGGTGTCCGGTTCGGGCAAATCCAGCCTGGTGTCGGATCTGCTGGGTCCTGCCCTGCGCGCGGGTCTGGACGGCCGGCGGTTGCCGCCGGGCCTCGGCGGGATAGACGGCTGCGAGCAGATCGACAAGGTGATCGAGATCGATCAAGGCCCGATCGGCCGCACCCCGCGCTCCAATCCGGCCACGTACGTGGGACTCTTCACGCCGATCCGCGAGCTGTTCGCGGCCCTGCCGGAAGCGCGGGCCCTCGGCTATCGGCCCGGACGGTTCTCCTTCAACGTCGCCGGCGGCCGCTGCGAGAACTGCGCAGGCGACGGTCAGATCAAGATCGAGATGCACTTCCTGCCGGACGTGTTCGTGACCTGCGACGTCTGCGGGGGGCGCCGCTACAACCGTGAGACGCTGGAGGGTGCGCTACAAGGGTCGCAACATCGACGAAGTGCTGAGGATGTCGGTCACGGAGGCGGCGGAGTTCTTCAGACACGTCCCGCAGGTCGCGCGCAGGCTGAGCACGCTGCAGGATGTGGGTCTGGGGTACCTGCGGCTCGGGCAGTCGGCGCTGACCCTCTCCGGCGGCGAGGCGCAACGCGTGAAGCTGTCCCTGGAGCTGTCGCGCCGCGACACCGGCCGCACCATGTACCTGCTCGACGAGCCGACGACCGGGCTCCACTTCGTCGACGTGCGGCAGCTGCTGGCCGTGCTGCAGCGGCTGGTCGACAAGGGCAACACCGTGGTGGTCATCGAGCATCACCTGGACGTCATCAAGCAGGCCGATCACGTCATCGATCTGGGGCCGGAAGGCGGCATGGACGGCGGGGAACTGGTCGCGACCGGGACCCCGGAGCAGGTAGCCCGCCACGAGGGCAGCCACACCGGCCGCTACCTGAAGGAGGTGCTGTGATCGCGCGCCGCCGGCCGGCTGCCCGTTGGCTGGCAGTGCTGCTGGCCGCAGCCGTTGCAGCGGCGGCGCTCGGGCAGAGCCCGCCGCCTGCCAGCGACGATCCGCTGTTCGCGCAGACCCTGCCGCTCGACGTCGACACCGCCAGCGCCGCCGAGCTGGCCGCGTGGCTGCGGCAGCTCGAGCTGCCGGACGGTGGCCAGCGGGCCGCGCTGCAGCAACGGTTGCGCGATCACTACGGGCTGCCCCGGCCGGCTGAGGCGGCCGCGGCCGGATCGGGCAGCGAGATCACGGTGGAGTCGGCCCGCTCTGCTCGCTACCGCTCCGACGAGCGCGGCCACACCACGATGGTGCTGGAGGGTGAGGTCGCCATCTCCGCCGTGGACCGGGAAACCGGCGCGCTGCATAGGATCCAGGCAGACCGGCTCACCCTACCACAAAGAACGCAGCAGCCTCACCGCAGCCGGGTCCGTGATCTACACGGTGGTGACCGGGGACGGCACCGAGGTGTTCCGCGGCGAGAGCTTGTCCGTCGATACCGAGCGGTGGGACGGGATATTCTACGACGGTTCGAGCCGTATCGATCAACTGGTCGAAGAGGCGGAGCTGACCTTCACCTATTCGGGTCGGGCGATCACTCGCCGGGACGCTGACACGGTGGTGATGGAGGATGCGACCGTCACCTCGTCCGAGGATCCTGACGACCCCAGCTACCGCATCGAAGCCGAGCGGCTGTGGATCCTGGCCCCGGAGGAGTGGGCGGTCCGCAACGCGTTCCTGCACATCGGAGAGGTCCCGGTGCTGTATCTGCCGTACTTTCTCCGTCCCGGTGGACGGCTGCTGTTCCATCCGGCGATCGGCCAGCGAAGCCGCGCGGGCACCTACCTGCAGACCACCACCTACCTGATCGGTCGCAAGCGGCCCGACGACACCTCGCTGTCGTTCCTGCAACGGAGCGGCGGCCGGGCCCAGTACGCCGACGAGCGCCGTGGGTTGTTCCTGCTACCGGCGCGCGAAGCTGCCGGGGCGGCGGACACGGACGGCGAGGAATTGACGCTGATGGCCGACTTGTATACCCGACTCGGCGTGTTCGGCGGGCTGCGGGGGCGGTTCGGCGGCTTCTCGCTGTTCGCCAGCATCGCCGCTTCCCGCGCGCTGGTGGAAGATCCCCGCCCGGGCGTCGGCCACACACCGTACCTGCAGGGCGCCGACGGTGAGCTGGTGTCACATTGGGACACGACCAGCATCCTGGGAGTTCCGTTGCCGTTCCGGTACGGGCTGGAGATGGAGGCCCGAAGTCGCGGCGCGCTCGGCTCACTCCAGGGAGCTTCGCGCTGTTCTCCGATCCGGCGTTCACCACGGACTTTCTGGGCCGTGCCCACGACCTGCCGACCGGCGGACTCCTCGGCCTGCCGCAAGGGCCGTTGATCCCGCCGCCTCCACGCGATCGGCTGGAGTGGCGGCTGGGCGGAGACCTCGCGCTGCACCCGCTCATCGCAACGCCGGCACTCGGGACGCTGACGTTTCCCACGCTGTCCGCCCGATGGCTGTGGCGGAGCCGCACCGAACCGCAAGCGGCCGGCGCCCAGTCGGCGCTGGACCGGCTGCAGGCCGCGTCGCCGACGCGCCGCTTCTACTACCCGGAGACGTTGACGCTGCCGGCGGTCGCGGCGGTTGCCGCCGGATCGGTCTACCGCTGGCGCGGCGTCGACGGCGGGCTCACCGCGGACATCGGCTACTCCGTGCGACCGGTCGTGTCGATCGATCACCGATTCGATGACCAGCCGGTGCGCAGGCCTGATCAGGTAGACCTGGACATCCTCTACACTCGGGTGGACACCCGCGCGACCGGTCAGATCACCTACTCGGCTTCCGCCTTCAACCGGCTCGTCGGCATGGACGGCGCCCTCGTCGAGGCGGCCAGCTACCAGGTACACACACGGCAGGCCGACAGCATCGGTCCGGAGCTGTCCGAGCGCCTGAAGCGGTCCGATCTGAGCAGAACCAGCTCGTTGCTGCGGCTCAACAACACCCTCAGTGTGCGGCCATTGCTGTCGGTGCCGGCGCTATCGGGATCCAGCCTGTCCTACGGGCTGGGGCTTGCGCTCCACGACGTGCGATTGGATACCGACACGGGCGATCCCATCGTGCGCGGCCCGGCCTGGGACCGGGACGGAGTGCGGTCGCACCGCGTTGCGGCCGATCTGGTGCTCGCCGTCACCGACGTGCGCACCCGTCTGGGCGCAGGAGTCGACCTGCCGCCCCGCCGGCTGACCGCCGACGGACGCCTTGAAGCCGATGCGGGACCGTTCTCGATGACGCTCCGCGGCGGCCTGGCCGAGCGAGAGGACGGAGCGGACGCCGGACAACTCAAGCCCACGCCGGTGGACGGTCGCGGCACGTTGCGCATCGGTCCGCACGCGTCGGTTTCCCAGTCGTTTCGCCTGGACGAACAGCAGCGCCTGGAACGTCTGAGCACCCAGGCGAACGCGTACGGGGTGACCGGCACCGTGCGTGCGGCGGTGCGGGAGCCGCTCGACCTGTTCGGTGATCCGGTCGCGGGTGCGCGGCCGAGCCTGCGCCCCACGCAACTGGCGCTCCGCTACCGATTGGATACGGAGCCGCTCGCCTACTGGAAGAACCGGATACAGCTGGATGCCGGGGTGCAGACCCGTCTGACGGTAGACCCGGAGGCGTACGTACGTGACAACTCGTTCTCCTTCGATCTGCGATTGGGCCTCCGGATCCACCGATTTCTGGAGCTCTCGTTCACGTCCACGTCGGTCAATCGCCACCTGTACCGCTATCTTCCCGCCGCGGCCGAGCAGGCCGGCGAGCGCTGGGTCAACCCGATCGTCGATCTAGCACGGTCGTTCAACTTCCTGAATGACGAGGACCGGATCGCATCGGCGTTCAAGCTGGAGTCGCTGCGCGTCGAGGCGCTGCATCGGCTGGGCGACTGGAACCTGTCGCTGGCCTACCGAGGCCGGCCGGAGCAGCACACGGAGTACAACCCGGACACCGGCCGGGAAGAGCCGCGCATCGTCTGGACCCCGGCCCTGTCGGTCGAGGTCCGCTGGGTGCCGATTCCGGAGCTGTACGGCAGTTTCCGCATCGATCGCCAGGGTATCGACATCGACGACGGCTGATACTACGATTCCGCTCGCGACCATATGGATAATACGCTCGCAGTCGTCCTGGAGGACGCCGGTGTCCTGAGCGATGTCTGCGGGGCGAACGACCGCAACCTGCGGGTCCTGGAAGAGCTGCTGAACAGTCCGGTGTACTCGCAGGGCAATCGCATCATGCTCGCCACCGACGATTCGGCTACCCGCAAGACGTTCGCGGCGCTGCTCGGAGAGTTGCGCGACCGGTCACGGCTGGGGCTGGAGCCGGGACCGGAGGTGATCCGCTCGATCTACCGGCGCATTGAAGAGCCGGCGGTCGCCGCCGTCCCGGATCGGCACCTGTCGATCCCGAAGGGACTGCGGCAGGTGGTGCCGCGCAGCGCCAATCAGATGCGCTATCTCGACTTGCTCGCGAAGCGCGACTTGGTGATCGCCGTCGGTCCGGCCGGTACAGGCAAGACCTATCTGGCGGTAGCCGACGCGTTGCGGGCGGTGAGCAGGCACCAGCTCCGCCGGATGGTCATCACCCGGCCGGTGGTGGAGGCCGGTGAGAGCCTGGGCTATCTGCCGGGCGATGTGGAGCACAAGATCGAGCCCTACCTGCGGCCTCTGTACGACGCCATGCAGGCGTTACTGCCGGCCGATGTGCTGCGCCGCATGGAACAGGCCGGCACGATAGAGGTCGCGCCGCTGGCCTACATGCGCGGTCGCACGCTGGCGGACGCCTATATCGTCCTGGACGAGGCGCAGAACACTACGCGTGAACAGATGAAGATGTTCCTGACGCGCATGGGCGAAGGCTCGCGCGTGGTGATTACCGGGGACATCACGCAGATCGACCTGCCGCGGCGCCGGGACAGCGGGTTGCTGCAGATCACCGAGCTACTGGCGCATGTCGGCGAGATAGGCTTTATTTACTTCGACAGGGACGACGTGGTACGCCATCCACTGGTACGCAAGATCGTGCAGGCCTACGAAACGGCGCCGGCCGATGCCGACCACCGCCCGTCTTGATGCCCGCCTTGATGATGGAAGACCCCGACCAACCTCCGAGTACCGACGTGTCGCACGCCGGCGGCGCCGCGATCGCATCCGGCGCCTGCGAGCCGGGCCGGCGTCTGCGGGCCGGGCGCGGTGCGTGTCGATGTCGGCGTGGCGGAGCACGTCCCGGCTCTGGCTGACGGAGACCGCGCAGCGCTGGTTCGTTCGCGCAGGCCGCGCTCGGCGCGCTCGGCCACAGCTCGGCCGAGCTGTCGGTGCTCCTGTGCGACGACCGCTTCATCCGCGAGCTGAATCTGCGCTTCCGCGGTATCGACGCGCCGACCGACGTGCTTTCGTTCGAGCAGGACAGCCGGACCTTCGGCCACGGCCGGACCTTCGGCCACGGGCAAATCCTCGGCGACGTGGTGATCTCGCTCGACACCGCCGGCCGGCAAGCGCGCCGCCGAAGCGTCGCGGAGTCCGCCGAGCTTCGCGAGTTGCTGCTGCACGGCATCCTGCACCTGCTGGGACGAGACACGGCGACGGCGACGTTACCGACGAGCCGATGCTGCAGGAGCAGCGACGGCTCCTGGAATGTCTGTCATCAGCATCCTGGACTGGCTCATGAGCATCCTGGACCGCCTGCTGGGCAAGCCCTCGGAGGAGGAGCGCAAGCTCGACGATCTGGGCCCGAACGCGCAGGGAGATGATCGACGGCGTGGTGAAGCTCTCCTCGACGACTGTCAAGGACATCATGGTGCCGCGTCCGGACGTGGTGTTCGTGTCGGTGGATGCGGAGCCCGACGAACTGCTGGACACCATCGCGGAGAGCGGTCACTCCCGGCTGCCGGTGTACCACAAGACCGTCGACGACGTGATCGGCGTGCTGTACGCGAAGGACCTGCTGGGCCAGGTCGTCGGCAACGGCCAGAAGGCGAACGCCGGCAAGGCGATGCGCAAGCCGTACTTCGTTCCGGAGAGCAAGCGCGTCGACGAGCTGCTGCACGAGTTTCAGCGTCGCCGGTCCACCTGGCGATCGTCGTGGACGAGTATGGCGGCACGTCCGGGATCGCCTGCATGGAGGACGTGCTGGAGGAGATCGTGGGCGACATACAGGACGAGTTCGACAACGAGAGCGAGGAGGTCCTCAAGCTGGGTGCGGGGGTCTACCTGTGCGACGCGACTGTGGCTTGATGAGCTTGCCGACTACGGGCTGACGATGGCGCTGCCCGCCGACGAGTTCGACACCCTTGGCGGGTTCGTCTTCGACCTGTTCGGGAAGATTCCCGTGATCTACGAAACCAAGAGCTACGGCAATGCCGATTTCGTGATCCAGGGAATGGAGGGCCGCCGCATCACGCGGGTGAAGATCGTCGTCCGCCGCGAGCCGGAAGGCGACCCGCAGCAGGATCGCTCCGCGTGAGCGACGCCGCCGCACGGCGCATGCGTACCGTGGGCGAACTGGAGCTGCGGGAGCGGACGGTGCTGATGCGGGTGGACTTCAACGTCCCGCTCGCGGCAGGGCGGGTCGCCGACGATGCACGCATCCGCGCGACGCTGCCGACGATCCGGGCGGTGCTGGAGCAGCGCGGGTCGCGGCTGGTCCTGATGAGCCATCTGGGCCGCCCGGCAGGCGCACCGGCAGGCAGAGCTGCGCATGGGGCCCGTGGCGCAGCGGCTCGGCGAGATGCTTCCCGCGACGGTCCACGAGGTGGACGATTGCGTGGGCAGGCGTGTCGAGCAGGCGGTCGCGCGGCTCGGGCCGGGCGAGGTCCTGATGCTCGAGAACGTGCGCTTCCATCCCGGCGAGGAAGCCAACGACCACCGCTTCGCGGCCCGGCTCGCGAAGCTCGCACAGGTTTACGTCAACGAACGACGCATTCGGCGCCGCACACCGTGCGCACGCCTCCACGGTCGGCGTGCCAGACTGCCTGCCGACGCATGCGAAGGGCGCGGGTCTGCTGATTGCAGCGCGAGATGGAGGAGCTCAGCAGCCTGCTGACCTCACCGGCCACGCCGTTCGTTCTGGCGGTTGGCGGCGCCAAGGTCTCCTCCAAGATCGGCGTGCTCCAGAACCTCCTGGAGCGGGTCGACACCATTCTGATCGGAGGCGGCATGGCCTACACGTTCCTGGCAGCGCAGGGGGTGGCGGTCGGCGCGTCGCTCATGGAGGAGAGGGCGGTGCGGACCGCCAGGGAGGTGCTCGATGCCGCGGCAGCTCGTCGCGTGCCCGTGCTGCTGCCGACCGACCATATCGCTGCCGCACCGCCGATCGACACTGCGTCGCCGCGGGCGACGCGGTGTCCGTGGCCGAACGCGAAATACCGGAAGGGTTGGCCGGCGTGGACATCGGCCCGCGGACCGCGCGCATGCGTTCCGGGACCGAATCGCGTCCGCCGGCACCGTCCTCTGGAACGGTCCGATGGGTGTCGCCGAGATCGATCGATTCCGGCGCGGCACGCTGGCGGTCGCGCAGGCGGTGGTCGACAGTCCCGCCCATACCGTGGTCGGCGGCGGCGACTCGGTCGCCGCCCTGCAGGCGCTTGGTATAACTGCCGGTATCGACCACATCTCGACCGGAGGCGGCGCGTCGCTGGAACTGCTGGAAGGCCGTACCCTGCCGGGCGTGGCGGCGCTCTGTGGCTGAATCCGACGAGGGGAGTAGCGTGAACGAACGCGGTGTGCTGATCACCGGCAACTGGAAGATGAACCTGCTGCGCGCATCGGCGCGCGAGGCGGCGGCCGCATCGTCCGGGTGCTCGGCCCGGGTCACATCGGCCCGGGTCACATCGGCTCGGGGCGTCCCGGTGCCGGCGTGCAGGTGGCGCTGGCGCCGCCATACACGGCGATCGACGTCGTGGGTGACGCGATTCGCGGATCGGGGCTGCTGCTGGCCGCGCAGGACGTGGCGGCCGCGCACGAAGGGGCGTACACCGGCGAGGTGTCGGCGGCGATGCTGGTCGACGCCGGAGTGGGACTGGTGATCGTCGGCCATTCGGAGCGGCGGCACGGTCTTGGTGAGACCGATGCCGTGGTGCTGGAAAAGGTGCATCGAGCAGGTGAAGCGGGCCTGCAGGTGACCCTGTGCGTGGGCGAAACGGGTGACGAACGCGATGCCGGCCGCGCCGAGGAGGTCGTAGAGCGGCAGGTCGACGCGGTGGTCGGTTGGTAGTGTCGCAGGTGGACCTCGGCCGGGTGCCGCTGCACGTGGCCTACGAGCCGGTGTGGGCGATCGGCACCGGGCGCACCGCCACGCACGAGGACGCGCGCAGCATGCACGCGCACATCCGCGCGACGGTGGCGGCGATCGCCGGCCGCGATGCCGCGGAAGCCCTGATCATCCAGTACGGCGGCTCGGTGAAACCGGACAACTCTGCGGCGCTGCTGGCGCAGGACGGGGTCGACGGATTGCTGGTCGGAGGCGCGTCGCTGGATGCGGCTTCGTTCGCGGCGGTTGTGCCCTTATAATGGATGCGCAATGGCGCTCGCCGGAATACTGATACTGGTCGTTGTCATCATCACCGCCGTGCTGCTGGTTCTCATCGTCCTCATCCAGGACGATCAGGGCGGTGGCATCGGCGGCATGTTCGGGGGTGGGGAAGGAAGCTCCTCGCCGTTCGGTTCCCGGACCGGAAACGTGTTGACGAAGTTCACGACGGTCCTGGGGGCCGTGTTTCTGGTCGCCGCGTTCGCGCTGGCTTGGCTGAACCGGACGCCCGATCAGGACGGTTTCCTGGAACGGGCGCGGCTGCAACAGACGCTGCAGGCGGAGGAGGGCCAGTGGTGGGTGCGGCCGGCGCCCGCGCCGCCGGCGCTCGCGCCGCAGGCTACCGACGCGCCGCAGACCGAAACCACGCAGGACTCCGGGCAGGCCTCGGGCGGTACCATCGGGCAGGCGGAGGCTGCCGACACGAGCGGCGGCGACACCACCAGCGCAGAGGGATCCAGCTAGTGAGGGCTCTCCTGATCGTCCTGGCGGTGGTCGTCGTGGTCACCGTCGGATTCGTGATCTTCCCGTCCGACATGGCTGCGATCTCGGTGGCGGCGGAACCGATCGGGCTGGGTCCGCACGTCACCAATGCCTTGCTGACGTCGTTCGTGCTGTCGGCGGCGCTCGTGATCTTCTCGTTCGTTCTGGGCCGGCGGCTGCAGGAACGTCCGGGCGGCCTCCAGAACGTGGTGGAGAGCGTCATCGAGGGACTCGACAACCTGGTCAAGGATGCCGCCCCGGCGCGCTGGGCTGAGAGGTTCTTCCCGATCGTCGCCACCATCTTCCTCTACCTGATCGTCGTCAACATGTTCAGTCTGCTCACCCCGTTCCTGGGAGCGATCGGGCCGGCCCACTCGACGTCGGAGGGCGGCATCGCTCCCGATGCGGAGAGGTTCGGCATCCCGCGCGTGGTGCTGATCGGCGGCGATTTCGAGGACCTGGAGCCGCTGCACGGGGGGACCCATGACGCCGCCGCGGTCGGCGGCCACCATGCCGACCACGTGCTGATCGTGCCGTTCCTGCGCGCCCCCTCGTCCGATCTCAACATGACCCTGGCACTGGCGCTGATCACCGTGATCCTGACTCAATGGTTCGGCCTGCGGTCGCACGGCGCACGCTACCTGTCCACATTCCTGCCACTGGGCGGGCTGCGCCGCAAGGGCTTCGTCACTTGGGCGATCGAGCTGTTCGTCGGCGTGCTGGAGGGGATCAGCGAGCTGGCGCGCATCGGCTCCTTCTCGTTCCCGGCTGTTCGGCAATGTGTTCGCGGGAGAGGTGGTGCTGATCGTGATCTCCAGCCTGGTGCCGCTCGGTCTGGTGGTCGTCTTCTTCGGCCTGGAGATCTTCGTGGGCCTGATCCAGGCGAGCGTCTTCTTCCTGCTGGCCCTGGTGTTCTTCTCGATCGCCGCGGGCGAGCGCCAGCACTGATCGCTTCCGGGAGTCGGCCAAGCCGCGCGCGGCGGCTTGGCTTCGCCGGGCGTGTCTGGTAGCTTCTGCATCCATGGAGCTCACAGCAGAGACATTCCGGTATCTGGCCGCCGCTCTGGCCATCGGCGTCGGCGCGCTCGGCCCCGGCATCGCTATCGGTATCACCGCACTCGGCGCCATGCAGTCGCTGGGACGCAACCCGGAAGCGCACGGGATCATTCGTACCAACATGCTGGTCGCCATGGCGTTCGCGGAGTCGGTGGCGATCTATGCTCTGGTCATCACGCTCATCATCCTGTTCGTGGTGTAGAAGGCCCTGAGGATGGGTTCGTAGGAGATGGAAGCGCTCGGAATCGCGCCGTTCCAACTGGTCCTCTACGCGGTGAACTTCATCGCGTTGGTCGTGCTGTTGAGGCTGTTCCTGTACAAACCGGTCAAGGTGATGCTGGCCCGCCGCCAGCAGAAGATCGCCGACGGGCTGGAGGCGGCCGAACGCGCGCAGAAGGAAGCCGAAGGCCAGCGCGCCGCGTTCGAGCGCGAGCTGGCCGCCGCTCGCGAGGATGCGCAGCAGGAGGCGCGCGCGGCCGCGGAAGCGACCGAGCGCATGCGCGGCGACGTGCTGCAGTCCGCCCGCGAGGAGGCGGAGCAGATCAAGGCACGCGCCCGCGAGGAAGCGGAGCGCGAGCGCGAGCAGGTGACCGAAGCCCTGCGGCGAGAGGCCGGGGAGCTGGCGCTGCTGATCGCCCGCAAGGTGATCGCGGAAACGGTGGATCCGGCCACCCATCGGGCCCTCGTGGATCGCGTCTGGCCGACATCGGTGAGGGTGTGTGACCCCGGGTGAGCTCGCCGAGCGGTACGCGAGCGCGTTCGTTGACACACTGCAGTCCAACGGCGACGTGGAGCTGCTGCCGCGTGTGGTCGCCATACTGGGGCGGATGGCCACGGCTCAGCGGGCGACCGTGACGAGCGCCGTCGAGCTGGATACGGCGACCCGGCGGCAGGTCGAGGGGTCGGTCAGGGGCCGGTACGGCGCAGGATGTGCAGATCCGCTACGAGGTCGACTCGCAGTTGATCGGCGGGCTGCTCATCCGGGTCGGGGACGAGGTGATCGACGGCAGCGTCGCCGCGCGGCTGCGCGAGCTTGACAGCACGTTGCGGCGGACCAAATGAGCGGACGGGCCAAATGAACGGACGGGATTGAACGAGCCGATGGCGATACAACTCGATGACATAACGCGGCAGTTGCGCCGCCAGATCGAAGGGTTCGAGCCGCCGCTGGAGCGGCGCGAGGTCGGCACGGTGATGAGCGTCGGCGACGGCATCGCCCGCATCTCCGGCCTGGGCGGCGCCATGGCGACCGAGCTCCTTGAGTTTCCCCACGGGGTCCCCGGCATCGCCCTCAACCTGGAGCGCGACGTCGTCGGCGCGGTGATCATGGGACCCTACGAACACATCGAGGAAGGGGACACGGTCAAGAGCACCGGCCAGATCGCTTCGGTGCCGGTCGGCGACGACCTGATCGGACGGGTCATCGACGCGGTCGGCACGCCCATCGACGGCAAGGGCGAACTGCACCTGCCGGAGCGCTACCCGATCGAGCGCATCGCTCCCGGCGTGATCGAGCGGGACAACGTGGATACGCCGGTGCAGACCGGCATCAAGGCGATCGACGCCATGATCCCGATCGGCCGCGGGCAGCGCGAGCTGATCATCGGCGACCGCCAGACGGGCAAGACCGCGATCGCGATCGACACGATCCTCAACCAGCGCAGCGGCGACCTGGTCTGCATCTACGTGGCCATCGGCCAGCGCCAGGCGCAGATCGCGCAGGTGGTCGCCTCGCTGGAGGAGCGCGGCGCGATGGACCACACCGTGGTGGTGGCGGCCTCGGCGGCGGAACCTGCGCCGCTGCAGTACATCGCCCCCTATGCCGGCTGCGCGATCGGCGAATACTTCATGGAGCAGGGGCGCGACGCGCTGGTCATCTACGACGATCTCAGCAAGCACGCGTGGGCGTACCGGCAGGTGTCGCTGCTGCTGCGCCGGCCGCCCGGCCGTGAGGCGTACCCCGGCGACGTCTTCTACCTGCACTCGCGGCTGCTGGAGCGGGCGGCACGCCTGTCGGAGGAGCGGGGCGGCGGATCCCTGACCGCGCTGCCGATGATCGAGACGCTGGCCGGCGACGTCTCCGCCTACGTGCCGACCAACGTCATCTCCATCACCGACGGGCAGATATACCTGGAGAACGAGTTGTTCCACGCGGGCCAGCGGCCGGCGATCAACGCCGGACTCTCGGTCTCACGGGTGGGAGGCGACGCGCAGACCAAGGCTATGAAGAAGGTGGCCGGCAGGATGCGGTTGGATCTGGCGCAGTTCCGGTCGCTGGCGGCGTTCGCGCAGTTCGGTTCGGACCTTGATGCGACGACCCGCGACCAGTTGGAGCGCGGCCTGCGGTTGACCGAGCTGTTGAAGCAGCCGCAGTACGAGCCGGTGCCGCTGGAGGAGCAGGTGATCGCCATCTACGCGCTGACCGAGGGCTTCGCGGCGCCGGTGCCGGTCACCGACATCCAGCGATACGCCCGCGAGTTGGTCGAGTTCGTCGGCAGCACCCACCCGGAGATCCGCGCGACCATCGGCTCGCGCCGTGAGATCACGGACGACGTGGAGTCGGCGCTGCGCGCTGCCCTGGAAGAGTTCGGCGGACGCTTTCAGCCGACCGCCCTGTCTGCGGCGGACCGGCAGGTGGCGGGCGGGGCCTGAGCCGCCGTGGCATCGGTCCGCGAGATTCGGCGCCGCATCCGCAGCGTGCGCAACATCGCCCAAGTCACGCGGGCCATGGAGATGGTGGCGGCATCGCGCATGAAGCGCGCGCAGGAACAGGCGCTGGCTTCCCGCGCCTACGCCGCCAAGGCGTGGGAGGTGCTGACTCATCTGACCCGCCATGGTGGGCGGAGACCATCACCCGTTGTTGACGGAGCCTGCGACCACCCGGACAGCGGCGGTGGTGGTGGTCACCGGTGACCGCGGTCTGGCCGGCGCCTACAACGGCAACGTGATACGCGCCGCGACACGCTTCATGCGTGACAGCACGTTCGAGGTGAGGACCATCGCGGTCGGCCGCAAGGGCCGCGATCTGCTGCTGCGTGGCGGCTACGAGCTTCTGGCCGAATTCGTCGACCTGCCGGCCCGCCCGGCCGAGGCCGACGTGGCGCCGATCGCCGGCGTGGCGATCGACGCGTTTCTGTCGAAAGAGGTCGACGGCGTCTACATCGCCTACAGCGACTTCATCAACGTGCTGCGGCAGGAGCCGGTCGTCCGCCAGTTGCTGCCGGTTCGCACCGGCGACCCGGGCAGCCGCGTGCTGGCCGAGTTCCTTCACGGCGATCCGCCGGAGCAGACCAACCCGTATATCTATGAGCAGGGCTACGAGGAGCTGGTGAACACCATCGTGCCGCGCTTCACCGAGCTGCAGATCTACCAGGCGATCCTGGAGAGCCTGGCCAGCGAGCACTCGGCGCGTGGTGGCGATGCGCAACGCGACCCAGAACGCCGACGATCTGGTCGGCGAGTTGACGCTGTCCTACAACAAGGCGCGGCAGGAAGCGATCACCACGGAAATGCTGGACATCGTCGGCGGGGCCGAGGCGTTGGCCGGGGCCGAGGCGCTGGCGTCATAACGGAGGAAATCGGAGTGGAGGAGAGCATGACAGAGAGCGCTACCGGGACGGTCACCCAGGTCATGGGAGCGGTCGTCGACGCCGAGTTCCCGTCCGGCGAGTTGCCGCAGATCCACAACGCCCTGCAGGTGCAGGCGCAGAACGGCGGAGAGCCGCTGGTGCTGGAGGTGCAGCAGCACCTCGGCGACGACCAGGTGCGGTGCGTGGCGATGGATGCCACCGACGGGCTGCGCCGCGGCCAGCCGGTCCAGGATACCGGCGGCCCCATCACGACGCCGGTCGGCCCGCCGGTGCTGGGCCGCATCTTCAACGTGCTGGGACGGCCCATCGACGGCGGTGCCGCCGTCGATGAGGCGCAGCGGCTGCCGATCCACCGGCCGCCGCCGCCGTTCAGCGAACAGGTGACCGAGCAGGTGGTCTTCGAGACCGGCATGAAGGTGATCGATCTCATCGCGCCGTTCACCCGCGGCGGCAAGGTCGGCGTCATCGGCGGCGCAGGGGTGGGCAAGACCGTCATCATCCAGGAGCTGATCTCGTCGCTCGCGCGCGAGCACGAGGGCTATTCGGTGTTCGCGGGCGTCGGCGAGCGCACGCGCGAGGGCACGCAGCTCTACAAGGAGATGCAGGAGGCGGGCGTCCTGGACAAGCTGGCCATGGTGTTCGGCCAGATGAACGAGCCCCCGGGGGTGCGCCTGCGCGTGGCGCTGACCGGTCTGACGATGGCCGAGCACTTCCGCGACGGCGGGCGCGACGTGCTGCTGTTCATCGACAACATCTTCCGCTTCGTGATGAGTGGCGCCGAGGTGTCGGCGCTGCTCGGCCGCATGCCGAGCGCGGTGGGCTATCAGCCGACCCTGGGGACCGAGATGGGCGAGCTGCAGGAACGCATCACCTCGACGACCAGGGGGTCGATCACCAGCATGCAGGCGGTGTACGTGCCGGCCGACGACTACACCGATCCGGCGCCGGTGACCACCTTCGCCCACCTGGATGCGACCATCGCCCTGGAGCGCTCGATCACGGAGTTGGGGATCTACCCGGCGGTCGATCCGCTGGCGTCGACCAGCCGCGCGCTGGAGCCGCGCGTGGTGGGCGAGGAGCACTACCAGGTGGCGCGCGACGTGCAGCAGGTCCTGCAGCGCTACAACGAGCTGCAGGACATCATCGCCATCCTGGGCGTCGACGAGCTGGCGGAGGATGACAAGCTGGTGGTGGCGCGGGCACGCAAGATGCAGCGCTTCTTCTCACAGCCGATGTTCGTCGCCGAGCAGTTCACCGGCCAGCCGGGACGCTACGTGCACGTGGCCGACACCGTCGCCGGGTTCACGCGCCTCCTGGGAGGCGAGCTGGACGACATCGCCGAGCAGCACTTCTACATGGCCGGCACGATCGACGAGGTGATCGAACGGTCGCGCCAGGTCAGCCACACCCGGAAAAGGCGGCGTAGCGTGCCGATGCGCCTGGAGGTCATCACCACCGAGCGCCGCGCGTTCGACGAGCAGGTGGAGATGATCATCGCTCCGGGGGCCAGCGGCGTACTGGGCATCCTGCCGAACCACGCGCCGCTGCTATCGGTTCTCAAGCCCGGAGCGCTGGAGGTGAGGATAGCGGGTCAGGAGCCCCGGTTCATCGCCGTCGGCGGCGGCTTCATCGAGGTGCAGCCCGACCACGTGGTGTGCTGGCCGACAGCGCCGAGCATGGCCACGAGATCGATCTGGAGCGGGCCCGTGCAGCGCGCCGGGCCGCGCACGAGCACATGGAGCGCGAGCGCGCCGGCGAGCGCGCGGCGTTCGAGGCCGCCCTGCACGCGCTCCTGCACTCGAAGGCGCGGTTGCAGGTCGCGGAGAGCCATCGACGGTCGGCTTCGGGGGCGCCGCCCCGGGTATAGCGCGCTAAGCGCGTCAATCCGACAGACCGCCTACTAGTAACGGCCGGCCTACGGGAGCGCGAAGACCACGGCCCGCAGACCGGTAGGGGCCTCCTGGCGCTCGCCCGAACGACGCTCGACGATGACCAGCAGATCGTCGAGGTGGGCTGCCGAGAAGCCGCGCGGATCGGCCCTCTCGACCAGCACCGACTTGGCGATAAGCCGCAATGGGTGGCAATGGTTCGTTCGTCACCCCCCCCCCCTCCTGCCTCCCCTCCCCCCCCCCCCCCCGCCCCCCCCCCCCCCCCCCCCCCCCCCACCCCCCCCCCACCCCACCCCCCCGCCCCCCCCCCCACCCCCCGCCCCCCCCCCCCTCCCCCCGGGATGGATCAGAGCGATCCGATGGTGACCATCACGTCCCTGTGTGCCGGCGTCTGCGGCCGGGAACTCGTCGATGACGAAGCTGAAACCATCCCGGTGCGGAAGGAAGTACACCGACGTGGTGCCGATCGCCAGCGTGACGGCGGTCGTGGGACTCAACCCGTCGTCGGTCAGGGTCGCAAACAACACCTCGCTCGTGGACGGTACGTGCCACAGAACGTGCGCCGTCCCGTCCGCACACGCGGCGTAGTGAGCGCCGACACCGCTCAACAGCGGCTGGACCGCCCCGTCGCCGCGATGCCAGACCAGCGTCGTCTCCGGTCGCGAGCGCCACGAAGGAGGCCGGCCGGCGCACGCGAGCGGCCAGACCAGGCGAGGGGTGATCGGCCATTCCATCGGGTCGATGCCTGCCCGATCCGGAAACCGCGGCCAACTCCACGACGGACGGGCCTTCGGGGGTGGCCGTGACCAGCAGCAGACGGCCTGACTCCTGACCCAGCAGCGCGCGCGGTGTGCCTTCGAACACCGGCGCGATCACCGACCAGGCATCCTCGCCCGGGTCGCGATAGATCCACTTCGGGATCAGCGCATCGGCCTGCTGCTGGTCCAGGTAAACGACGTGCTGCCGGCCTCCATACACCGCGTAGGCGTGCACCCCGAATGCGGTGAGATCGCCTGGATAGATGCCGACGGCGTCGAACGCTTCAAGGGTGTGCCGGTTGCGGTGGGGGTCGATCTGGGCAAGCTGCAGCCTCAACGTGTCGAGACTGGCGAACAGCACGTGTACCTGGTCGTCACCGCGGCGAGCGTCAGGGGAGCCGCGATCTGATCTTCGCTCAGCACGGCGACGTGACGCGGCGTCAATCCCGCCGGCGTGCTGCTGCTGCCGGCAGCCTGCAGCAAGGGCGAGAGCCGCGAGGAGCAACAGCAGCGACAGCACGTAACCGGTGACTCGACTGCAGACGGCACTCGCGGTCGCCCGTCGCGATCGACCCGCACGGCGCTCGAGCCGGGCTCGACGACGCAGCGCATTCGGGGGGCGTAGCCGAACGCCGCCGCCGTGCGGCACACTCCGGGTATGCGCGTGGGAGTAATCTTTTCGCTGACGCATAACCGGCGGGCCTGCTGGCATTGCGCTCGCGCCGCCGGTACTCGAGTCGCCGGGCCATCGTCGTCGAGCGTGATGCGACGGCATCCGCGATGTCAACACCAAGTTGACCTCCCACCAGTACACCGTCGTGGGCACCGAGTCGCTGTCGATCACCGGCAAGATCCCGGCCCGCGTGGGGCCGTTCCTGGCTTCCGCCGGGATGATCCAGGGAAAGCGGTGCTATGCGTTCGTGGCCAAGTCGTTTCTGGGTTCCAGCCGTGCCCTGATAAAAGCTTGGTATTTGTGTGCCTTGATCTGAGGCGCCACCATCGGCGACTTCTTTCTCGGTCCGTCAGATTGCTTTGTGTGTGTCATGGAGCATGAGGGTATGTACCTGAAGAACTCCGGCGTGTTGAAGTCCCCGGAGGAGGCCTCGTGCGTACGGCGTCGCACCTGCGCGGTCGGTGTTTATTAAACGGCGCGAGGATTGCAGCGCTAAGTCCTCTTTTCTCCATGTGGAAAGAGTATCATCCTCGCGCTATGCCTTTGTGCGCTCGTCCCACCTGCTCGCGATCCTCGGCCAGCAACGCGTCCCATGGCACGCGCACCCGCGCCGCGGAACGCTCGCCGCCTGCATCGACACCCTCCTGCTCTGTGTGGCACGGCTTGTGTGGTCGGCGGGAGGGCATGATCTTTGAAGTGATTGTATCACTGCCGGCCTGATTCTTAATGGCCTCGCGACGACCCACGCCTGCAGAGGGCCTGAGTCCAGGAGCGGGATGTCCGAGCGCTGATCGGGCCGGTGCATTTCTTCCTTCCTGTGCCAGTGTGCTCATGTGCTGTTCCTTCCATTGTGAATCTGTATTGTTACCAGTCGCAGCTTTCGGATTCGTGTTAGTATCGCGTCTGTCATTTGCTCTTCTTTTATGCTCTCTTCATTGGCAATCGCGCTTGTTGCCGGTCCGGGCTCCCAGGCAGCGCCCATGTCGGCGATCCGAACGCCAGCAGGCGGGTGGGGGCCCCCAGGAACAGCAGCAGGAACAGGCCGAGCAGGTACGGCGCCGACACGTTGAGCGCGATGAACAGGCCGGCCGTGAACCCGGTGTTGTCGAACAGAAGGGTGAGGCACTTGCGAATCGTCTTGCCGAAAGGATCGGCCATCCGAGTGATGAGCGGGAAGAACGCCTGCAAGGACAGCAGCCAGAACACGGCCGCCCAGCCGAGCAGTCCGAGTGCGATCAGGCCGATGGTCGACTGGGTGTGAGACGGTGTTAGACGGGCCAGCGCGAGTCACTCAGCTGAGGAACAGGAAGATCGCCAGCGTTGGGAATCGATCCACCACCAGAAGGGCGGGAAGCCAGCGCGCGCGGATGGCGTCGACGAAGACCCTCCACTCGGGGGTCTTGTAGTCGGCCAGCTCGCTGGTGATCGCAGCGGTTCCCATGGTGAACACCGAGAGCGCGGCCGAGCCGATCACCAGGACCGCGAAGTAGGCAAGCTGCGCCTGGGGTACCGCGCTGAGCAGGAAGCCGGTGCCGCTGATGATCAGCACGTACCCCAGGTTCAGGGCGAAGATGCGGAACAGGTTGTCCCACATGTCGAAGAACGCCTTCTTGATCAGAAACGGGAACATGCGCGTGCGCAGTGTAACCACGGATGAGCGGCAAGCTCAATTTGACCGGTGAGCGGAGCGCCGCTACCCTGATTCGGGAGTGATCGGGTGGAGGACTACTACCAGGTTCTAGGAGCCGACCCGGAGGACTCCCAGGAGCGGATCAAGCGCTGTTTCCGGCAGCGCGCCAAGGAACTGCATCCCGACCTGACGGTGCTCGACGACGACCAGGCGGAGTCGCGCATGCGGCGGTTGCTGGATGCCTACCGCGTGCTCTGCGACCCGGAGCGGCGCAGCGAATACGACCGACTGTACGGCCGCGCGCTGCGCCGGCGCCGCTTCGACTACCGGTCGTTCCTGCGTTCGCGCGCCGATCCGGTGAGCCTGGCCAAGCTGGTGCTGTACGACCTGATGCGCTCACGTGATCGGGAGGCGCTGGCCACCTTCGGTCAACTCCAGTCGCACGTCGACTCCGATCTGGCATCGCTGCTGGACTACGACGACTTCATGGACTGCGCCTATCTGCTGGCCGAGGCGCTGGAGCGCGACGGCGCGTACGACAAGGCGTGCGAGTACTACCTGCGGGTCTACCATGCGGAGGCCTCGCGTCCCTACTTCCGCCACTTCATAGCGGAGGTAATCGAGCGCATGCGTGATGTGGCGTGCTTCAAGATGGCCGGAAGCGCGGCGCCGGTCGACTCGGTACGCTGGATCGAGGAGTTGATCGATCTCGATCTGTCCGATCGGGAGTCGGCGTTCTTCTGCAAGCGCATCGCGGAGATCTACTCCGACGAGGGGGATCTGGCGGCGGCTCGGCGCTATCTGGAGCGCGCGCTGCGCCTGGATGAGGGGCTTGCCGGCGTCAAGAAGCTCAAGGAGCGGATCGGACTGCACCAGCCGGTCATGCAGCATCGCAGACAGCCGACATAGTATCCTGAAGGCATGAGGCAACTGTTGAAACGGGGCGGGCTCCACGGGCCGCAGGGGGCGCGCGCACGCGTGCTGGCGGGCGTGGCGGTGGCCGGGATCGCGCTGCTGGGCGCCGGCGCGGCTGGTCGCAGTCGATCGCCAAGACGGTGGCGACGGTGCGCCTGCACGAGCCGCAGATCATTTCGTCACCTCAGTTCACGGCGTTCGCGAGCGTGGTGGCGCGTCTGGGCGGCAGCGATAGGGTAGCTCCCGAGGACTGCCGGCGGGTGCTCGACACGCTCGTCGATCAGTATCTCGCCGAGCAGGAGGCCGTCGAGCGGCGCCTGATCCTTACGGAAGCCGAAATCGATCAGCAGATGGTTGAACAGCGCCGGCAAATCGAACAGCAGCTCGGCCTGGACCGGCAATTGACGGATGACCAATGGCGAGCGCTGATCCAGCGGGACACGCGCCTGACGTTGGAGGAGTATCGGGAGCGCTTCGCCGCCGGGCTCGTCACGCAGCGTCTGGTGGCGCAGATGCGGCCGGACTGGTTGCAGGAGGTCCCATCACCTTCGGAGGAGGATCTCCAGGCGTTCTACAACCTGAACATCCAGCAGTTCGTACAGCCGACATGGTGCTGGTCCTCCACATCTTCTTCGAGACCCTGGGCCTGGACGATGCCGGCCGTGAAACAGGCGCGGGAGCGCGCGGAGGAAGCGCTGCAGGAGCTGCGCGACGGCGAATCGTTCGACGATCTGGTGGTCAAGTACTCTGACGACCCCAGCTCTCGCTACAGCGGCGGTGAGCTCGGCAATCGCTACCTGCGCAGGGAGGATGCACGCGTGCTGGAAACGCTCGGCGCAGCGTTCCTGCAGACGGCGTTCGCCATGGTGGGAGAAGCCAACCAGCTCGTGGAGTCCCAAGGCCGGCTTTCATATCCTGAAGATTGACGACCGCATCGCTGCGCGCCTGCTCAGCCTGGACGATCCGGTAACGCCCCGTTCGCCGCAGACGGTGCGCGGGCAGATCGCCGCCTTGCTCGCGGCTGACCGCCAGGGCAAGGCGTATCAGCAGGCCGTCCAGGAGGTCGTCGCGGAGCTGCGTGAACAGGCGGACATCGAGATCTTCGAAAACCAACTCGAAGCCGTCTGCCCGGCCGAGCCGTCCTGAGCGCGGGTGCCCGAATTGGGAGGTCCGGGAGGTGCCAGCAGCGTACACGACGTGGGCGATGTCGATGCGGCCGGCCGCCGCAACGCTCGCGTGCTGGCAGTGCAGTCGCTGTACCGGTATGACCTGAGCGGGGGCTCAGCCGCGGACGCGGTGGACACTGTCGTGGATGGACACCGCCCGACGCGACGCGCTGAGCACCGAGTCGTACGCGTTCGCACCCGTCTGCTGGTCGCCGGCAGCATCGAGAATCTGCAGGCGGTCGATGGCTGCATCGACCGACAGCTTGAGCACTGGGACCTGGAACGGCTGTCCCGCGTCGATCTGGCGATCCTGCGGATGAGCGTCTACTGCCTGCTGCACCAGCGGGACGTGCCGGCCTCGGTGGTCATCAACGAGGCGGTGGAGATCGCCAAGCGGTACGGCACCGACGATTCCTACCGCTTCGTAAACGGCGTGCTCGACGGCGTGCGCAAACGGGTGGCGTGAACGCGCTCGGAACCGCGCGGTGACCGCGCGAGGGCGTCGCGGCCGCCGTTCGTCAGCCGTTTCCGGCGTGCCGCCGCGGCTTCCAGGTCGCTCCCGCCGGACGCGCAGCGCGCCGCCAGCCTCGGATGCTCCGCCGTTGACCCGCCTGAAAAGCCAGGCGGAGATCTCAGGCATTCGCGAATCGGCGCGCATCCTCTCGGAGACGCTGCGGCTGGTCGTCGAGAACGTGGAGCCCCGCATCACCACCGCCGAGCTCGACCGAATCGCCCGGTCGCACATCGAGGCGTGCGGCGCCCGGCCCGCGTTTCTGGGCTACCTGGACTACCCGGCGACGCTGTGCGTGTCCATCAATGAAGAAGTGATCCACGGTATTCCCGGCCGGCGCCGGCTGGCGGACGGCGACATCGTCGGGATCGACTGCGGCGTCGATTGCGCCGGCTGCTTCAGCGACGCCGCGCTGACGGTGCCGGTCGGGAGCGTTGCGCCGAGGACCGCGTCGCTGCTGGAGGCGACGCGCGAGTGCCTGACGTTGGCCGTGGCCGCCGCGGTACCGGGCAACCGCGTCCGAGATGTCGCCAACGCCGTGTACCGCTACGCCAGCGCCAAGGGGTACGGCGTCGTGCGCCAGTTCTGCGGCCACGGGGTGGGGTTCTCCCCCCACGAGGACCCGCAGGTGTCGAACTACCCGTCGCCCGGGAGCAATCCTCGCATCATGCCCGGCATGGTTCTGGCGATAGAACCGATGATCACCGAGGGCACGTGGGAGGTGGAGGTGCTGGACGACGGATGGACCGTCGTCACCGCCGACCGCAAGCGCGCCGCTCACTTCGAGCACACGGTGGCAGTCCTCCGTGACCGCGCCGAGGTGCTGACTACGCACCTGTGAACGGCACTCGCCGTTCGGGGTTCCGGCTCCTGGTGGCGCCGTGCGCGGCTCTCGTGCTGGCGGCGGGCTTCGAATCTCTGGGCACAGGACGGCTCGGTCACCGCGGGCTCGTCGGTCGATCCCGGTGCCGACCGACGGGACCGCAGGTCTCGCGCCGCTGATCGACCTGCAACGGGCGCTGCGCCGGCTGGCCGATACCGTGCTGCCGGTGGTGGTGAAACTGGATACCGAGGCGAGTCCTGATCAGGATCGCGGGCCGTGGCTGGGGCTGCCGCTGCCGGGGGTTGGGTCCGGGGTGCTGGTGCGCCGCGACGGAGAGCGATATTTCGTGCTGACCAACAACCACGTGGTGCAGGCCGCCGATCGGATCACCGTGATCCTGAACGACGAACGCAGCTTTCCCGGGGAGGTCGTCGGGGCCGACGAGCGCATGGATCTGGCGATCGTCGCGCTGCGGACGGCGGACGATCTGCCGCTGGCGCGGCTCGGCGATTCGGACAGCGTGCGCGCCGGCGATCTGGTGCTGGCGGTCGGCAGTCCGTTCGGCCTGGATGCAACGCTCACGCTCGGCATCGTCAGCGCGGTCGGCCGTTCCGGCGGCCAGGTTGGCAACATCAGCGACTTCATCCAGACCGACGCCACCATGAACCCCGGCAGCTCCGGCGGCGCGTTGGTGGACATTTCCGGCCAGGTGGTCGGCATCAACACGTGGATCCAGGCGCAGAGGGACCGGTGGGCGGGGGTCGGATTCGCCCTGCCGATCAACAACGTCAAACCGGTGATCGACCAGTTGATCGAGGTCGGAAGCGTCCGCTACGCCTGGCTGGGGGTGGTGCTCGCCGGTCCGGACATCGTCGACCATCTGGCACCCGGACGCTCGGGCGCCGTCCTCTTCGATCTGTTCGATGGGGAGCCGGCTCAGCGAGCGGGCTTGCGGGCCCGGGGACGTGGTGTTGGCCGTGGACGGGCGGGAGGTCGCCGACAGCGACGACCTGATCAGCGCCATCGTCGCACTTGAGCCGGGGCGGCCCGCGCGGTTCCGCCTGCTGCGGGGCGGCGTCGAGCGCGCGGTTGTGGTCTGGCCGGGATCTGATGAGCCGCAGTCCGGAAGAGTCTGGCCCGGGCTGCGCGTGCAACCGATGCAGGCGCTGACCGAACAGGCGCAGGCGACGTTGCCTGCCGCCGGTGTGTTCGTCAGCGACGTGCAAGGGGGTACGGCAGCGGCGCAGTCCCGCTTGCGAAGGCAGGACGTGATCGTACGTATCGACGGGGACGAGGTCAGCGACCTGCGTGACTTCTATCGGTTGATCGATGCCAAGCAGGAGGGCGTGTTCGAAATCCAGGTGTGGCGGGATGACCGTGAGGTCACCGTGCGACTGAACCGCTGAGGTTCAGACTCGGAGAGAGGGCAGGAGGGCGGTCGCTATTCCAACTGCCAGCGGTCCGGCAGCTCTCCGGGTGCCACCGTGGTGGACCACAGGCCGTCGCCCGCGGTGAGCGCGAAGACGGTGCGCTTGCCGCCCGCGGTTTCGGGATCGACCCAGAAGCTGCGGATCGAGGCTTGGTAGATCGGCTCGGTGGTGAGCGGCAGCCGCGTCACCGACAGGTCGCCGTCGATCGCGGCCGTGTAGTAGCCGAACCCGTCCGTGCCGATGAGCGCCGTCCCTGCCACGGGCGTTACGCCCGTCAGGGGGAACGGTCTGATCGTCGGCCCTGGTCTCAGTGCGGTTCGGGCCAGGTCTCGCCTCCGTCCAGGGAGCGCCACAGCGTTCCCCGGCTGCCGGACAGCATCAAGATACTCTCGCCCACATGGAGCACGCCGCGGAATGTCTCGGATCCTTCCGTGACGGGGCGCCCGACTGGTCATGCGGCCGGCCGCGCATTCCGAATAGAGATCGCTGCCCGCGACGGCCCAGTAGGTACCGTCGTCATCGGCAGCGACCGCTTCGATCGGACGGTCCAGCTCGGGAATCACCTCGGTAAAGTCAGGAGCGCCGCCGACTAGTTCGGTGGCGCTCAGCAGCGTGTAGGAGCGCTCTGCTCCCCTGGCGTCTGCGACACGACCACGGAAGAGCCACCTCTGTCCGCATCGGTCGTGAACAGGCCGATCACCTCACGGCTGCTCACTTTGAGGTCACGTACGGGACTCCAGTCGATCGTATCGGTTCGGATCTGACTGCCGGTGGCCTGGAGCAACGCGAAACTGTCGTCCTTGACGAACCGGGCGCCCGCCAGCAACCACGGATCGTCGTCAGGCTGCCACCGGACCAAAGGAAGCAGCGCGACGGTCTTCTTGGCATACTCGGTCTTCATCTGGGTCCATGAGCCCTCTGCGGTGTCGACCGGCCGCGACCACAGTTTGCCCGCGGCTACCACATAGCGGTCGTCCCACCTCGCGACTCCGCCGATCGTGATGTCGTTGGCCAGGTTTCGATCGATGGTCGGCTGCTGATGGGCCAAGTGATGGAAGATGCCGGTGACGGGGTCCTGGCAGCCCAGGAGGGCGAACGCCAGCGCCGCGGCCGAGATCGGCGCGAGCGCCCGCCGGATGCCGGTCCCGTTCCTGGTTGATCGCTGCCGGTTCGCTGCCATCTTCGTCAAAAGTGGTAGACGATCTGCGGGGAGATATCGAGGAACGTCGTCAACCCGGGGCCCGATCCCGGTCTCGGTGTGCCCCAGATCGGTTCGAACATCATCCAGACGCTGACCGACCCGCCGAACGACCAGTTTCGATCGTACCGGTAGTAGAGCGAAGCGCGGGCCGAGGACCCAGATCACGTTGACA